CAGTTTTGGTCCTATATTTAAGAAAAATAAAGTTATGAATCAATAATCATCACAAACCATATTGAAACATAATGTGCCTAGGACATCCTATTATTTGTGTAGCATTATGCTTTTCATGATTTCATATTGTAATGAGGAGTTTTAGAAAGTACTAGATTGACAATGTTGGTTGGTAAAGGAGGTTATAGGAGCGTGTCAACAGACAACAGGTGTTATGGAAGTGCGTATCACTGTCAATCGTATTTAAATCTGATGTTTGCTGATACCAAATTTCAGTAAATATCCAGAGAGTTAGATGTTATTAGCCCTTCAAGGTTTTAGGTTAGTTTCTTGAAAAAGAAAAGGTAAATAATATAATACGATAAGAAGAGGATAAAAAAGTATTATATTTTTTTTAATATTATAAAGACCTAAAATAAACAATACTCATTATAAAAGGTTAACCGTTATGAATACTAACCAATGAAGTTGGTATGAGAGAAACTTATTTTCAAATAAGTGTTATGTACAAATTATTCAAACTTTAATTTTGATCCATTATTGATAACAATTAGAATCACTTTAAAAGTTTAATTTTAGATTTATCTGTAACACCAAATTGAGATTTGCATCATTACCTTTTTCATCCGACTAGATATTTACTTTTGCGACTGAGGCAGAACAATTCTAATACGTGTGATTGAACTACATATGTTGTTTGGCTTTAGTCTTCATGAACTTGGTTTTTGGACATAAACTTGGTACCACTCTGTAGAGTTTCATCGAATCAAATATTTAACACATACTATTTAATTAGCTACAAATGTTTTGGGTCAACATTTAAGCATAGTGGCAATCGAATTTTTTTCTCCTCAAAATAAGATTGGGTGTTCTAGAAAGCTGTTAAAAAAAGTATAACAATGGAATCTACATGCAACAAAAAAAAACTATTTTATGTAGATTAAATGGCAACCACAAGTTTAAACGGCATCACATTTTTTATAAACTGTAGAAGATAAGCACACTACAAAAATACAAATAGAGAGAGAATGTGAAGATAAACTACATTAATAACATCCTTAGTTGTCGTTTTTATATCTCAATAAAGAAACGAAATTTGAGACAGATTCATCCAACCATGGTCCTCTTCCGCCCTCTTTGTCGCACTGCAAGTTGTGAAAATTATGGAAGTAAGAAGCACGTATTGAAGAAAAAGTGTAAAAGTTGAAGAAAGTAGAAGAGGGAGGGTATAACCTTGTGCTAGCTTGTTTAATGTGGATGACCACTGTTTTGACGACTTCCTGTATGCAGCAAGAATTTGATCCATCTGTTCAGACAAAATCCAATGTTCAAAATTGTTAGTCAATTGATTTCTTGTTTATAATCATACCTTCTGTTTGACTAAGCAGAAAACATATTATAGAAAAAGGCTTCGGTTTCTGTTTGCGGAATGTGAAGTTAGATGACATGGATCCATAGGGTGGTGAAGTAAATCTCAGCTTCTTTGACACAAAAGGAAGTGCTATTGTTGGTCAATGAGAAGTTCATTTGTGAGATAAAGAGTTCATCCTATTCAATGCTTTGTTTCTTTAGCACAAACATTGCCCAAATCAACTTTAGTGCATACACTAGAAAGTCCTGATTGTAAACAGTTGAAAACAGGAATAGGAAATTGGGCAAAAAACTTATCACAAGCATGGCAGACCTCTCACATTGACAGCTTTAATTAAGTATTAACACAAGAGCATGTTTATGAAAATTAAGATGTAAATTGTAACGCTTTAATCTAGGTGTACTAAAGCTAGTTTCAACAGAAGATTTTTAGTAAAACGTACCCCAAATTATGTTTTATGCTACTTTTAGCACTAACTATGTGGAGTGCCCCTCTAATTCAAATTCTTAGAACTGAAAAATAAAACCGTCTTCATCTCCTTAATTTTCTATTTTCTATGGCATCACAGTTAAGGGGAAACGAAAAGTTGGCTTACCACATTCCCACATGATGAATGCATTGAGATAAGAGATCTTTCCAGAACATACAAATCAACAGCTTTATCTTCTGGAAGAGTTGAAGTGAAGCTCAAACCAAAATCAATAAGAACCTATGTAAAATACACTTGAATTCTGTAACAACCATTGACAATATTTTTCATGTTGCATAGCATTAATGGGTAATTGGATATTACAGGACCTAAGACATGAATGGACTCACCAACTGCTTGGTATCACTCTTCAACAACATGTTTGATGTTGTTAAATCACCATGAATAAGACCACCATCATGTAACTTCCCAATTGCTTCACCAATTTGGGATGCTATATTGTCCAGCCACTCTTTATCAGTCCCACGTGACCCGATTTCAAGGAACACATCTTTGACTGAAGAGCCAGTAACATATTCAAATGTTAAAGTGTGCAACACGTGATCCACAGCATACAGCACAGGAGTACAAACACCAAGTCGCCTTGCTTTGGTCATGCACCTAGCCTCCTGCTCAAAAAAATCAATTGGTGAAATAAAACATTCAAGAAATAAAACAATGCACAGCTTAATATACAGAGCTTCAGTGTAAAACAAATAACACAAATTGTCTAAATCTAACCGCATTTAAGCGCTTCAGTGTCAATTTAGAATCCAAAGTTGGATGCCTGTACTTCTTTGAGAAGCGTTCCTTGACAACGGATTTCCTTCCCACAAAAGAAGACTCAAAAACCCTCTACAAAAAGGAACGCAAAAGGCCATAATTTAGTCAGTGCTATTTCACAAAAAAGAATCATCCAAAGCAGTGGGTTGAAGAACTACCCCAACAACAAATAAAAACCTTATCCTACTGGGTAAGATTAACTATATGGATCTCACAATGCTGATGGAGTCAATTGCTAGGAATTTCCTCTAAGCTTGAATTGAAACTTTTAGAGGAAGAGCATTCCATAGTATCCTCACCAACAACATCCCACCTCATACTATGAAGAACAAAGTAACCTCATTAACAACATATCAAAAGGTACTCTCATTATTTTTCCACTGAACCAAACAACTGGAAAGAGAAAAATGAAACTTTCTCTGACCTGTGAGGATATAACCGTGGAAGAAGGCATATAATTTTTTTTTTCTCTTGGCTCTTCACTTGGATGGCCTTCTTGGTGAATGCATGAATGTGTTTAGTGTTTAGTCTAAACTGGAGAGTTGTATAACCTACCAGCTATATTTGGTTCAATGCAGAAATAACGAGAGTACCTTTAGGATGTTTTCGGTGAGGCTACTTTTATCTATCAAAAACTTCATTCTCAGGGAATTAATTCATCCGGGTCCTTCTTGCTACCAATTGTTACCAATTTCCTCTAAAATTAAAACTTTACACCCTCAAAGGGCAGAAAACCAGAAATCAATTGCTACCAAACAATACAATGGAGTGATTGTACATACAAGGTGAGTGCACCAGTAAAAAAACAATAAAAGATAGAAATTTTACATCAAGGCTAGGTGTTAATTAATTCTACAAATCCAGGATGTGATTACACTTACAGCCTCAGCTCCTTGTTTGAGCAGAATGAGTGAAGTATCTCTTGAGTCAGCTTCAGTCTCCATATATTCAACTCTTAAGCAGTGAAATTCCTGGTGTTTTCAACTCTCTTCAGCAACAACTATCTGCTCAAAAACGAAAAGGGAAAAAAGATTACACAGGGGAAAAATAAAGAAGACAAAAGAAAATAAAAACATGTAACTGTAGATATTGATTCTAGTATGAATTGGAATTGAGTAAATCTAGTAATTTCGAATACAATTAATCGAGAAGTTAACGGAATATAGTAAACAACAATTGCAATGATATCATGCAGTAATTGGCATCAATTGAAAGAAGAAGTTAATTGCAGCCACCACAAGTTCAGGAACAAACCTTACGAGTGCCACAGTTAGGGTAACAGAACTGAACAAATAAAACGAGACGTTTTGCGCCATTTTTTTAATGTACAATATCCACTTCAAACAAAATCCGGTCCGGTCTGCAGGCTAACCGGGTTGGACGGTTCGTTGAAAAAAAGTTCAAAGATGCAAGATTTTCGGAGATTTAAAATTCTAGAAAAACAATTCAGAGGATTTAAAATTCTTAAAAAAATGTGTTTCTACGATAAAAAGCCTTTGAAAAACATATCACATATCTTTATTTAGTTTCGTTCACACCGAAAATAGAAGAAATTTTCATTAAAATAAGTTTATAATAAATTCTATTTATAACATTTTATGAACTTTATAAATCTAACTTTATAAGTTAAGGTCTATATCTTATTTATATACATTATAATTTACTTATATTAAAATGTGAAGTATTTATAGTCATCTAAAATTTATATATATTTTTCAAATTCTTATCAAAATAAGAGGTAGTTTTGGATTGGGTAAGATTGTTTAACTTTTGCAGTATACAAAATTTCTAATATATATTTAAAAATAAAGACCCACTTTTATCGGAACTTTTCATATGGGAAAAATTAAATTTATGTAGTTTTCATTTTTATTATTAATATGATGGTTTGATGAACACATGATGAGCCACTGTAGTGATTTTTAAAAACTAAAATTAAATGAATAGGCTTGTCCTTGTTTTGCTTTCTTATGTGATTGAATAAAAATATAAACTAATTGAACTTGTCCAACAGTTGTAGCTGAGACTGTCTATATTCCAAGCAAACAGATATGATCCAACTTTGATTAAATCATAATAATATACATGAGGTAAGGGTTTCAATGTTTAGAAAATCAAATACATTTTCATACTTACAGAAGGGGTTTCACACTGTACCTCCAAGGACTTCACCCTACATCTTTAAGTTCCGCATTTACCTTCTGATTAATGAGATTTAGTAAAAATGAAATGAAAACCAACTTATTTAATAACTCGACCAGTTTTATAGTTACTTGTTTATGTATCCCTTCACATCTTCCTTTCACCTTTTTCATTTTGTGTTTTCTCGTGTGTAGTTTGTGGTCTGGTATTCCCTTCTTCCATTCTCATTGCATTGAAAGAGTTTTGAGAGAGATTTTTTGTTGGAAAAGTGTGGTGGAGGTATTGTTTGGTGCTGCAGTTTTCATGGTTGGCATTGGATTTGGATTTTTACTTGATCCAATGTTCATGTCCACTCCGATACACTCAACCTTATTAGAGAATGAAGCATAAGAGTGTTACCTATGTTACGGTAGAAGAACAAATCTGTTATGTTGAGAAATAAAACCAAACCCCTTCTTTCAAATTCTCAAGCTTCAATATTCCGTTATCTGGCACCACAACCTTCCCTGCCCCAAATCAAGCAAACCCATGCACACGTCGTCGTTTGGGGCCATGCTCGTCTCACCGTTCACCTTCTCTCTCTACTTTCTTTCTCCTCCACTGTTCCTTTCCCTCTCCGATACTCACTCTCTCTCTTCAGCTCAATTCCGTTCCCCACTGTATTTGCCTTCAACTCCCTCATCCGCTGCCACGCCAAAGCCAACTCGTCGCCGTCTCTCTCTCTTTCTCTGTACTCCGCAATGCGACGCCGTTTTCTCAACCCCAATCAGCACACCTTCACCTTCCTGCTCCATGCCTGCTCCAAGAACTTAAAAATCAAGGTAAACAACAACAGGTTGGGTGTTCAAGTTCATGTGCACGTGATCAAGCTCGGTTATGCTTGCCACGTGTTTGTCCGGAACTCTCTGATTCACTTCTATTTCGAGTGTGGTGATGCTGATTCTTCCCAGAGAGTGTTTGAGGAAGATGCCCTTTGCAGCGACGTGGTCACGTGGAACTCCATGCTGGCTGGTGCAGTGAGAAATGGGGATGTTCGGGTTGCGGAGAAGATGTTTGGTGAAATGCCTGAAAGGGATGTTGTTTCTTGGAGTACTATGATAATGGGGTATGTTCAAAATGGACTTTTTGAAGATGGGTTGGAGTGTTTTAGAGACATGAGGAAGAAGAGAGTGAGACCAAATGAAGCTATATTGGTTACCTTGCTTTCGGTTTCGGCTCAGTTGGGTTTGCTTTGTTATGGGAGATTCATTCATTCCACCATTGAGGCAATGAGATTTTCAATGACGGTTCATATAGGGACTGCTTTGGTAGACATGTATGCAAAGTGTGGTTGTATTGAAAAGGCGAGAATCTTGTTTGATGGGATGGTGAAGAAGGATGTGTGGACGTGGAATGTTATGATCTGCGGTCTTGCTTCGCATGATTTCGCCAAGGAGGCGCTCGCACTATTTGACAGGTTCATTGATGAAGGCTTTCTTCCTGTGAATGTGACATTTGTGGGTGTACTTAATGCTTGTAGTAGGGCTGGTCTGGTTGGTGAAGGGAAGCATTATTTTAAGTTGATGGTAGATGGTTATGGCATTCAGCCCGAGATGGAGCACTATGGGTGCATGGTTGATCTCCTTGCTCGTGCCGGTTTAGTTGATGAGGCAGTTAAGTTGATTGAGGGAATGGCAATTACGCCTGATCCTGTGATGTGGGCGACGCTGCTTGATGCATGTAAGCTTCATGGATATGTGGAAATGGGGGAGAAGATTGGGAATAAGTTGATAGAGTTGGACCCAACCCATGACGGGCATTATGTGCAGTTAGCTGGAATATATGCGAAAGAGAGAAAGTGGGAGGATGTAGTTAGAATTCGGGAATTATTGAGTGAGAGAATTGTCGGCAAAGTTGCTGGTTGGAGTTTGGTTGAACTGCAGGGTAGAGTTCATCGCTTTGTTGCTGGGGATAGAGAGCATGAATGTTCTTCAGATATTTACAAAATGCTTGAAACAATTGGACTGAGGATAACTGAAGCAGGTTTACTAACTGAAACGTTTTGACTGTGGTGCGTAATATAGGAGGAGAATACAAGTAACGAACATGCAATTAAAGATCACAGTGAAAAGTTATGAATTACTCTAGGCTTTTGGTAACGGCATTTCGTGATCACATCAGAAATGTGGAGGATTTTAGAGTTTAAGAGGAGTGTCACTAGTAATCAAGATTGTGTTTGACAGACAGAGAGATACAGATAATAGTTAGGGATGTTTCACCATTCAACAAAAGGATATATATTCCCTTGGTAGGGTGTGTTTAGAAATCCGTTGCTAACTGTTGATTGGTTTGTATTGAACGTGGGTTTAGTTGGATGGAACTGATATGCAAGCACACTCTTAATTATGGATAGGCTATTTTTATAATAACATTTTTTTTCTTCAAAGTTTGTGTTTCCCTACAAAATTTAATTAATTTCCTCATTGCAGGAGTTTAATAGAGATGAACAACAACAGCAAAATGAACAAATGAAAACAAGGGGGAAGAAAATGGAAAATGAAAGCCCATATTCTTCCTGGATTCCTCCATTCAACTGCACATCAATAGGATATCTCCTCACTCTCATGTCCAGACTAGCACCAATTACCAAACGTTTTAGATATGATTTTCTACATCAATTTCAGACGTGATCATCAGAAATTCATAGTTAGAGATCCATATAATCTTGATTCTTTTATCATCAAAGGGGTTTCCTAACCTGTTGTAATTCTAGCTTTTACGTTTTCCGTATCAGAATGCTATCCAAACTCACTCAAACCAGCATGCAACTATTCACCCATCTCAAGCCCTTACTTTTTTTTTCCATGGCCTAAATAAAATTTAAGGAATAAAAAGGAGTAGCAGTAGATGACTCAGTTGACAGCTGATAGCATCAATTGACAGAAGTAATGACTCATTATAGATAAGGGTTGTGTATCCGTAAAGAAATGTGAAACATTTTACTTTTACAAGATGAAAGATTTATGTGAGTAGGGATATTGTTGGCAGAAGAGGATGATACAGAAGATACTACATATTTGTTTACTTATTTACCTTTCCATCCAAAATTCTGTAACACATGCAGCAGGGGTAGAAGGGTCTAATGAAAATACAACTCAGCAGGGAATAAAGAGGGGAACAAGAAACAGACTAACTAACTCCAGGCTGGATGACTTTTATTGGTCTAGGACCTAATCCATATAATTAGTGGGTGAAAGGGAGAAAGGGAAGAGAATTCTGTTATCCTTTGCTGCATCCTTTCTGTGCAAATTCTCTGTTTTGGTTTACGTGTATTTTGTTCTGACCTCTTAAGGGAATTATTCCAAACATTCTCTTCGTTCCTTACTGGAATCTTAATAATACTAGTATTCAGAGCATTATTTCATTGCCTATTTTACATTGAGTGCAGTGTTCAATTTTTTACTATTCCAGAAATTATCAGTACTGTTACATTGGTGCTTTCATTGCGATGGCAGAGAATACGCGTTTGAAAGACCTCAGTGCTGATGTCAAGCGGATCCTTGAAATTATGGAAACACGGGATCGTGAAAATGCTACCCGATTCGAGACTTTGGAGTCTGCAGTGGATACCTTATTGCAGAATAAAGCTGCAAACCCTTCCCCTCCGTTTCAGGTGCGCTCCGTCAAGCTCGACTTTCCGCGCTTTGATGGGTCAGATGTCTTACAATGGATATTCAAGGTAGAGCAATTTTTCTCCTATTATAACACTCCAGATGATCAACGCTTAACTATTGCTGCAATACATTTGGACAAGGATGTGGTTCCCTGGTATCAAATGATGACGCGTCATGAGTCATTTCACTCCTGGGTTGCTTTCACTCGAGCGTTGGAGTTGGAATTTGGTCCCTCTCCCTATGAGTGTTCCAGATCCCATCTCTTTAAGTTAACCCAAACAGCTTCTGTGCATGAATATTATGATCAATTTACTGCTCTGGCTAACCGTGTGCAAGGTGTCACCGTTGAAGCTTTGTTAGATTGTTTTATCGGAGGGTTAAAACCGGACATTCGACGGGATGTGATTGCTCAATCTCCATCAACCTTGATTCGCTATGTTTCATTGGCCAAGTTGTATGAAGAGAAGTACATGAACAAACCCAAACAATATCAGCCCTATACAGCAGCCAAAACACCAACCCCAAACACCAGCCTACCTATCACCCAAACCATTAAATCCACTAATTTACCACCCTTGCTTCCAAATCCCACTACAGCTTCCACCACAATCCGAAATACCCATATCAAAAGAATAACCCCTGCTGAGATGCAACTGCGACGAGAAAAAGGACTCTGCTATACGTGTGAGGAGAAGTTTTCTCCAACCCATCGGTGTCCCAACAGGCAATATTTATTGCTTCAATTACAAGAGGACGATTCTACAGAATTACCCCCTGAACCCCCGGATATTGAGCAGAGCGGTGAACTAAATTTGTTACAAGAGCACCACTTATCTTATAGTGCTTTAAAAGGAGCTTCTGGAGTGGGTACCATGAAATTTCAAGGTTTTATTAATGGCATCACAGTCCAAGTTTTACTCGACAGTGGGTCGAGTGATAATTTTTTGCAGCCCAGAATAGCTCACTGTTTGAAGTTGCCTATTGAACCCATCTCGAATTTTCAAGTTCTGGTGGGTAATGGCAATGCCTTAGTTGCGGAAGGCTTGGTCAAGGATTTGGAAGTTCGAATTCAAGGTCATTCCTTGAAGTTACCAGTGTACTTATTACCTGTTACGGGGGCTGATTTAGTGTTAGGGGCTGCATGGTTAGCTACCTTGGGTCCTCATATTTCAGATTACAGTACTCTTACCTTGAAGTTTTATTTGGGCAATCAATTTGTAACATTGCATGGAGAGCAACCAACCTTACCTGTACAAGCTCAATATCATCATCTCAAACGCATGCATCATACACATGCCATAGATGAGCTTTTTACCTTGCAATTCCAACATTTCGACTATTCCCCAGACCAACAGCTCGAATTACCCTCGGAAATGCCATCTGATTTGGTGATGTTGCTGAATACCTATAAGGCGGTGTTTTCAGTACCTTCGGGGCTGCCTCCTAATCGCTCCCAAAATCATACTATTCCCTTGCTACAGGGCTCCGAGCCAGTGAAAGTTAGGCCATACAGGTACCCACACAGCCAGAAACAACAAATAGAGATAATGGTCCAACAAATGTTAAAAGACGGGCTTATTCTTCCAAGTACTAGTCCTTTCTCCTCCCCCATTATTCTTGTTAAGAAGAAAGATGGAACTTGGCGTTTCTGCACAGATTATAGGGCCTTGAACGCTATCACGATTAAGGATAGTTTCCCTATTCCAACCGTTGATGAACTCATTGATGAGTTACATGGAGCTCTTTTCTTTTCCAAATTGGATTTGCGATCTGGTTACCACCAGATTTTGGTCAAGGAAGAGGATAGGTTCAAAACTGCTTTTAGAACCCATCAAGGTCATTATGAGTGGACTGTCATGCCATTTGGTCTCACCAATGCACCTGCCACATTCCAAAGCTTGATGAACGAAATTTTCCAAGGCTTATTGAGAAAATTTGTCCTGGTGTTTTTTGATGACATATTAGTCTACAACCCTTCTTGGTCTGCTCATTTACTACATCTTGAGGTTGTTTTGCAGAAACTACAGCAGCATAAACTCTTTGCCAAATTCTCCAAATGTTCTTTTGGCCTTCGACAAGTAGACTATTTAGGCCATATTGTTTCCGGCCTAGGGGTGGCAATGGATAAATGTAAAGTACAAGCTGTGTTGGATTGGCCATGTCCAATGAACTTGAAGCAGTTGAGAGGCTTTCTCGGCCTTACAGGCTATTATTGCCGCTTCATCAAGCAATATGCAGTAGTAGCTGCTCCTCTCACCAACCTATTAAGAAAAGACAATTTTCAGTGGAGTGCTTCAGCTTCTGCAGCCTTTGAGAGTTTAAAATTGGCAATCACTCAGGCCCCTGTTTTGGCTTTACCTGATTTTTCTAAACCTTTTGTTTTAGAAACAGATGCTTCAGGAGTGGGTATTGGGGCAGTCCTCAGCCAAGAGCATCATCCGATTGCTTTCTTCTCTAAGAAACTCTCTGCTGCAATGCAAAATCAATCTACATATACTCGGGAATTTTATGTTATTACCGAAGCTATTGCCAAGTTTCGTCATTATCTATTGGGGCATCAATTTGTGATCCGAACAGATCAAAAAAGCTTGAAAAGCTTAACTGAGCAGGCTATTCAGACCCCAGAACAACAAAAGTGGCTGCACAAATTATTGGGGTATGACTTTACCATTGAATATAAACCAGGGAAAGATAATATTGCTGTAGATTCTCTTTATAGATCATATTTCATGGCTTGGTCTCAGCCTACCTTACAAATTTTGCCGGCATTAAGGGAAGCTATTTCTCAAGATATTCACCTCAAGGCTGTTCTCGACTTGTGTTTACTTCATAAGCCTCCACATCCAAATTATTCTGTACATGATAACTTGCTTTTCTGGAAGGGTCGCTTGATTATTCCTAAGTCTCATGCTCTGATTCAGCAGCTTTTACACGAATTCCATAGTTCTTTGATTGGGGGACATGCTGGTTTTACCAGAACTTTAGCCAGAATTTCTGCCCAGTTTTATTGGAAAGGTATGCACAAAGATATCCAGCAGTTTGTTCAAACTTGCTTAGTTTGTCAACAAGCAAAAACCGCTCACACCCTACCCGCAGGCTTATTACAACCTCTTCCAATTCCAGAACAGATTTGGGATGATATTGCTATGGATTTTATCACAGGTCTACCTTCTTCCAATGGCTTTACAATCATATTCGTAGTCATTGACAGATTATCCAAGTATGGACATTTTTCCCCATTAAAGACTGATTACTCTAGCAAGTCAGTAGCAGAGGTTTTTGTTAAAACGGTGGTAAAACTGCACGGAATTCCTAAGACCATTGTGTCGGATAGGGATAAGGTCTTTCTTAGTCATTTTTGGCAGCAATTATTCAAGTTAAGTGGTACTTCTATGCACATGTCCACTGCCTATCACCCACAGTCCGATGGCCAATCGGAATCTTTGAATAAATGCTTGGAAATGTATTTGAGATGTTTCACTTATGACTCTCCTAAAGATTGGGCTCGATTATTGCCTTGGGCAGAATATTGGTATAACACTTCTTATCATCATAGTTGTGGCATGACTCCCTTTAAGATTGTCTATGGCAGGGATCCTCCTACTTTGGTAAAATACACCTTTAATCATCATGACTCCCCCTCAGTTCAGGAACAACTACTGCACCGTGATCTGACACTTAACAAATTGAAATTGAACCTCCACAAAGCTCAACAGTACATGAAGAAGCATGCGGACAAGAAAAGGAAGTTCGTGGAATTGCAAATAGGTGACTTGGTTTTTGTCAAGCTGCAGCCCTATCGACAACACTCTGTTGCCCTCCGTAAAAATCAGAAACTGAGTATGAGATTCTTTGGCCCTTTTCCTGTTATACAACGCATTGGACAGGTTGCTTATAAATTATTGCTACCACCAACAACAAAAATCCACCCAGTATTTCATTCTTCCCAATTGAAACTTTGTAAAGGGGATCCTTCTCAGTCTTATGTGCCACTACCTATCACTCATACTGAATTACCACCTGTTATTCAGCCTGCTGCGATTTTGCAATCAAGGCTCATCTTAAGAGGCTCACACCAAATTCCACAGCATTTGGTACAGTGGGAAGGCGTAGA